CAAATTTTCAAATATTGAAATTGCCAAATTTTCAAATATTAAAATTGCCAAATTTTCAAATATTCAAATTACCAAATCTTCAAGGCTCTTCGAAACTTTTCAAAAACGTCTCAACACACTTCACAAGCAACGTTTGGCAGAAACTGTAAGGAACTTCAAAATAGTCATCTCCTCTCGAGAAACTGTTCTAAACTTTCTTAGAGACACGATCCATTGTTTACAACATCGACGTAAGTGTTTAAGAGGATCTCGAAATTTCAGAAACTTTTAACACTGCATTCTTCTAAACACCTGATACAAACTGAAAATATAATCCTCTTAGCTTCTTACTTTCAATTTATATAAAACACAAAAAAAAATATGACGAACCAAAAAAACAAAAAAAAAAATAAAACCTTTAATCCTAAACATTTTGGAGAACACAACTGAAAAACCTATTATTCCACGTATCATTTCTTTATTCTCTTATTATTCTTATCGTTACACGTCGTAACGATAAAAGGTTAACTAGAAAAATGTAACTTTTCGAAAATGTTCGCGATAACTCCGCCTTTGACGATGTATTTAGATGTATTTGCTTCCTTTCGTCGATTTTTCGCAACTCCTTAGATTGAAATAAAAATTGGTTAATTAAAATCGACAGCTGATCGGATCGATAAAATCCGAACTGGTTAGGAGACTTAAGCTGTTAGCTAATTGAAGCGGAAAACCGATGATAGCGGTCGAACGTTCAGAACCTTTGAGCGATTTAACCGGTTAAATGGTAATACGACATTACTGGTCAGGAATGATCGTGGATGAAAGTCATTAATTCCGTGTAGAAGTAAATCCACGCTTTCGTTGGTTCCGTGTTTAATGGCGAACAAAAAAAAATATATTTATTGAACGTAGACGCACGATTATAACCGACGATAGAAGAGTATCTCGAAATATTTCTCCTTTTTTGCATTTCATCGACGGAGGGAAATATTGCGCAACGAACGAAATGCTAAATTAATATCCAATATCGGAAAAATATTACTATTTTTTTTTTTTTGTATATTATTAGAAAATATTAAACTGTTGAAAAAATAATTTTTATAAGAAGTCATTTTTATATATTTGTTGCGAAAAATCGTACCAAAAATCAGAATTAATTTTTCTAATTTTATCAAACGGTAAAAATCTCTTTTTATGCAATTTTCATTTTTTGTAAATTTATTCGTTTTAGTTGTTAATTGAATAAGTGGTTTAAACAGTTTAAACAAGAATTGCGCTGTTATGTAAAAATTACACTTAACGAATGATATTTTTTACTGTACTTATACACTTAATAGACATATAGCCGGCTTTATATATACACTCAAAGGATCAATATTCCATCTCGTGCTTAATGGCATAAGGGTACATTTAGGAGCGCATCCATCGAAGTTTCAATCTGTTTCACGCTTTTAAAGTAAAAGGAGACGAAGATCCTGTGTCTCACCTCTGTTTCGTTCTCTATAGAGCATCGCATAAAGCGTGTTCTTCTTTTTAATTTAACGCTGTGTCGATTTAAAAAAAAAAAAAAAAGTAGAAAGAAAAAAGAAGCGGAACATTTTATACCGTGGTAACGATAATTTGTTGAATATTCAGATTCGTATTGATAAAATGATCGTATTTCTCGATGGCAATTCAACCTACATACATTTCCATATATTTTCAAATTCTCTTAGACAAAAGTACGAACCTAACGATAAATTTTGCATTCCACATATTTGCATGGAAAATTCAATCGTATTGCACTTTTAATATTTATTTTCGATGCGATCAATTTACATGTGAAAAGAAATACGCCAATTCTTGTGTGTAACAAATGTGCAATATATGCTCGACAATTTATGCAACGAAATCGTATGACTTTTTATACCATCATGAATATTAAATACGAGAACTTTAAATGCAATAAACATACCTCATCGCCTTTTATGTCTATTGTTAACTTTAAACCGATTATTTATGTAGAAGTATCGTAATAAACGAGCAGCAATGAACGTATGACGGTATAAAGTGTGTCAAAAACGTGAGTACAAATTATGTGTAATTATAATACAATGCTAAGTACAGTACAATGCATTAGATACAAAATTAAGTATTGTCATTGGATTAAAAAATAAGTATCAATGTGATGCATTGTAGTGATTTATTATTGTAATTTGTAAATTTTAATATTGTAAATTGATTTTATTCGCAAATCCGTCTCCTGTAACTTTCTTTCCTTGGACATACGCTGACAAGGGAACATCCTGAAGTTATAATCACCGATATTAATAAAACTTTGGTAGTTTGTCTTTGGTACTAAATGGTAGTACTCAAAAAAATATTTGACACGTATTTGTAAAAATGACCGTGAAAAATGGGGATAATTTGTAAAATAGGGGTGTCCAACTGGCGGCCCGCGAGCCACACGCGGGCTCTTTCTGCTCTTCGTTTGCCCCGTAGGGCAATAGTGTGGACAGCCCTCTCTTCCCTTCTCTCCTCGAGAAGTTAACTTCAAAAATAAAAAGTAACAAATAATGTTGACCAAATATGGCTTATGACACCCATCTTTGAAGGCGGTTTTCACACCTTCAGCGTGGGACAATTGTCAATATAAAAAAAATACGTGTCGAATATTTTTTTGAGAATTATTATATACCGAAATTTCATCGAAATCGGTAATTATGACTCCGAGATGTTTCCTTGTGAGTATAGCTTCTCTTCTCAATGAATATTACAATATTTGTCAGAAAAAGTGAATTTTGTTAAACGTAGAATGTCTAATTCAATTAAAAATCGATTCTCCTATGATCTAAAAATTTGAATTATATCTGATACGGTTCATTTCTGGACGTATGTCCACTAAGAGTTTTCTGTTCCTTTCGATAATTTTTCAGCTTGTATTAACATGCGTTCATTACAGCTGTGTATCACTTTTACGTAGATAATCGGGTAATAATCGCGCATTATTTATACGTAAAAATTACACGAAGGGTTTCGATTAACAGGACCACGTTCCGGGGCCTTTAAGATTTATCGTATGCCCGAGAAATGGACACGGTTGTTCCATTACAATGGCATTGTGCACGAGGACACGTTTCGACCTTTCTACCCGGCGAAATTGTCCATTTCACCGGTGCTGATCTATTGTGGCTTGATGATTTGTTGCAGTGCGTGTTACAAAAGGCCGGAAACTGGCGATTTAATGCGTTCACGCTGGAAACGGTGACGGGAGGTAAGCAATTAGAAATAAAACAAAAGAAAGAAAAAAAAAACAATATCATGCCTCTTCTGGTGGCTCGTTGAAGTACGATCTGGTAGTGAACACGTTTACAAGCACGAACACGATCGTTGAAAACATGAAATATTTTCTTCGAAAGATTTCTTTTTCCAGATTTGTTAACCTCGCTAAATTTTGAACATGTTTCGAGTTTTTATTTTTGGAAAATATTAGCATTGATTGAATTTTAAAATCGAGATGAAAAATGAAATTTATTGAAAATCACGTTACGATATTTCGATAGAATATTAGGAATCGAGAAGAAAGTCATGTAAAAATATTTCGATGGATTTTTAAATTGCAAATTTTGTTTTATTTCATTTTTGTCACTTTGAAATAAACTCTTAATTAAATTTA